CCACGACGCGGCCACGACCCGCGTCCCCCGCGGTCCCCAGCCCCGCGTGTCCCCCCTCGCGCTCCAGCCCAGCGCTGACCAATACTGACCTGACCAAACAAGCTCCCCTGGCAGGTTACATCCATAAAGGGCTTCTGAAAAAAGCACTTACGCAGGAAAAGAACAAACTGCCTCGTAAACAGACACCTTTGTTGATATGCCACAATCTGCATTCAAAGATATATTAATACATATTTGTGTTATCAGTGATAATCAGAACACCAGTGCTATGGATGAGATCATCTACCCTGCTACTATAACCAAAAGAAGATAGGGAATTCATCTGAGAAACTGAAAAACACGTTTAGCTTATCCTGCAAAACTAGCATAGAAATAAAAACATAAAACTGGTATTTACAGATTAATGAATAAAAATATGAAGTGGGACTATGTGAACTGCTATTAAAGTGACATTCAATAATTAACTGGAACCCTGATATAAGTTTAGCATCCTCCCTCTTCCCTTCCTTTTTTTTTTTTTAATAAAAAACAGTATTTACATGTATTTTTCAAGAGAACTGGTTGACATTATTGCTTGATCCTTTTCAGGAAAGACATTCCAATGAAGCAATTATTCCACATGCTGACAAAACACAGAATACCATTTCAAGAATGACAAAAATTAACATTTTGTTCATCTAAAAATTATATTCATCTGCTAGACCAGCAGATCACATGTAAATATAAGCCAATCAAAAATACATTTTACAAAAAATAATCAAGTCTCCTTTTTCAGTATGGCAGTAAACATAATTTGTTCTTTCACTCTCACCTTGCACAAGTTGCATTCTAAATCAGAGCTTACTTTTTTCTTTTTTACAAAAAAGATAAAATTGATTAAAATTGTTGTTTTCATAAGCAAATACAAACCCAGGCGTCCAGTGGACACTCCCACCACAAGTCCCAGCGCCGGGTCCGCACCGCGCACCGGAACGCGGCCGGCGCTCCGCGGCGCTCCCGGATCCCGCGCCGCGATCCCTGCCAGCCCTCCCGGCTCCGCAGGGCTACCTGGGACCTGCTCCTGGTTGCTCCTGGTGGGGCTGGAGCGACTCTCCTCCAGGCTGAGCAGACCCAGCTTTGTATTTGACTATGAACGTTAAGCAGCTTTCTCCACGAAACAGGAAGGCACCATGCACATAGCGGTTGAGGCAGGAAGCAAACAGCAGCAACATGACATGTGAAGTTTAGGTTCAGATGAGTTAAGGCTTCTGTTAAACTTCTACATCTTCTCCTAGTTATCGTCATTATCTGCAAAGAGAAAACGGAAGCTACTGAAATAACTCAGCGCGAGACGGTTAACGGAACAGACTGAGGGGTGTCTGCAACGGGGAAGTCCCCATCAGTGCAAGTTACTGGTGCTGGGTCATCTTGGTCTCAGCTTATTTTGTATTCTAGATGCCCAAGAACTGCCCCAGAGCATTGCTGGAACAGCACAGGCCAAGGGCTTTCCCAGCATCCGCAGTTATTCCACGGCAGGCTCGTTCCTGCTTGATGGAAGCACTGCAGAATGGCAGCACAAATGCACAGAGCACTGTAAAAATCAACTCGCTTGTAGAGCAAATTGAGACAGTACCAGCTGGGTGCTCCTTGCCCATGAACACAGCTCTGCCTCCGCCTCCCGCTCCACAGTAACGCTCCACTTCAATGCTTATGCTTAAAAGTTGCAATATTGACACATTCAGGAGAAAATCCACGTTTTGATTATTGCTGTTTACTTAAAAGGTCTGAGTGTTCCTGCACGCCTGCCCACAGCAGCAGCCGCAGCATGTGTCCCCACAGCCCCCTCGGGTCCCCAAGGGGAAGGACACCCTGCCCCTGTCCTGGCCAGCCCTCACCCCAGGCCCCACGCAGCAGCAGTCCCCGAGGTACCTTTCAAACCTGGTTCTCATAATGGCTCTGCCGCTTCTTTGACTTCAGCTCCTTCAGCCACTGGGGAGACTTTTCTTCCGACCTAAGGTACACAAAGATATTTTTAATCTTGCCTTACGAAAGCTTATTTTGGAAGCAAAAAAAAGAAACCCCTGATTTCCCCTACGGCCTCAGGAAGGCCCCAGGGCCGGCGCCTCTCACCTGTCCTCCCTGTCCGCCCCGCCGGGCAGCGCTCGGCTCCCCGCGGCGCCGGGCGCTTTGGGGGATTTCAACTGCTGGGCAGAACTTATCTCACCACAAGTCTCAGACTCTTGCCTTTTCCGCAACTGGGCCTAAAAAGATGTAAATAATAACAATAACAATGAGAAGTGCTCATTTTTAAACCGGTTTTTTAAACTTTTCTGTGATCAAACAAATCACATTTACAGAAACAAATAACACATGCCTTAAATCAATGAAGAAAACCCTTATAAGCCCATGCAGATCTGAAAACTTATCTACTCTTGCAAAGTTATTTTTCTATCAAATAATTTAATACTTCTGCCCAAGAGTTAAAAAGTGAGAAAGATAACTGCAGGATTTCCCCACACATCATAAAGCGTCACCGACTCCCCGTGATCAGCCCATCTGCATCGTCATCTTCAACAAAACTCCCTGCACCATTGCCAAGTGGCACCTGCAATTATGGAACCAGTTTAGCTCTGATCTGACACGCTCTGTCAATGGTCACCTTGAGGACAGCGTGGTCCATTCCCGGGAACACCGGCAGCCTCTGAGCCTGGACAGAAGATGATTTCCCAATACGATGAGTTTTTTCTTCTTCATCAGAATCTTCTTGTTGCATAGTTTTCTTCTCTTCTAATAATAAGTTATGTAACAAAAAAGGGCAAAAAGGGAAGAGAAAAAAGGCAGATTAGTCAGCAAGCTTCGCATCTATACTTTTTGCCCTACATTTCTTGTTCCATTTAAAAATATATTAATAGAAATATTAATACACCTAGCAGTGGGCTCAATGGCCCAGTGGAGGTCAGAAGAACAAAAATACTAAGTATTCAGCACCAGGGTGATCCCTTGTTCACACAGGTGAAAGCAGCAGGTACCTCAAGGTGTATTGCTGCTTCTAAATTCACCACTTGAGCACAGAGCAAGAGATTCATTCAGATGGGACAAGACCTCCGAAAGTCACCAGGACTTTGACACACAGAGGCCCAGCGTTCTGAGCCTGTACGCTAGGTGTTCACACCAGGGACATGCAGCAGCACTGCTGCCTTCGTGTCTTCTGGGTCCTCAGCTGATACCTGCTCTCCAGCTCCCTCTAGCACATTTCTTACCCCCTATAGGTCTTCAGGACTGTTTAGATCTGTTAGATCAGCACCAGAGCAGCCACGGCAGGCATACCCACCTCCCTTGCCCTTAATTAGGGCCTGCTGAAGAGATTGGTTTGATCACACCTTCCTCCCTGCATTCATAAGCTACCCAAGTGCTACAGGTACCAGGCAGTGACTTAGTGACACGCACTGAGCCACCCCAGCACTTGGGTGGGCACGGATTTCCATGGCCTGCTGCATCCTAATGTGTCCTAAAGAACAGGGCAGGCCAGGAGGGAGACCTTCTCCATAGGATGGTTTGAAGGAGGCAAATTATCCTTAACTAGACTCCTTTCTCCTGTAGCACTTATAGCTGGCAGAAAGGAAGAATATCTACGAGGCACCTATGGCATACTAACAATTACAGTTGCTCTCATCAATTACACACAGGTTTATGTATGCAAAGAATACACTAAAGAATGCATCCAAAAAAAACCACCAGCACAACCTTTTAGAAAAAAGACCACTAAATTATCTTAATGAAGACAGAAAGCACTACCACCAAGCACAACATGGATAATTGTAACATTAACCATCTCTTATCACGCTGAATGGCATCATTTTTGGCCAAATGGTCGTAACAGTTTCTGAATTAATTTATTTCTCAGTGAAAAGCTTCTCTTACGTCAACTGCCAGGAGGTAAAGGAGGCTGATGGAGCCCTCCTCCACCTGCGCTGCCGTAGCTCTGCCTGGCGGGGCTCTCCCAAATCCCAGGGCTCTAAGGGATAGAGAAGAGGACGACTCCATTCAAAGGATGACCCAGCAGTGGGAAAGGAAAGCTGGTCTCAGGCCTTGTCACACTCGGAAATTCCTGCCCTCCCCACCAACTGATTATGGTTAATTATTTAAGGTAGTTCACAGATACCTGTGGAATCTTTAAACATCCAGGAACTGTCTGGATCTTCCAAAGAAAACCTGTTCTCAAACTCTGACCCTCTGCTTCTTCGAAGAGAGTGCGAAAGCGGGGCCCGATGGCGCCTCTTTTTGCTGAGCTGTGCACGAGTTTTCAGCGCGCTGGAGTCTAGGACAGTGGTTTGCTATAAAAGAAAAGATAAAGTAAAATAAACTTACTTTCAACCAGACTGAAAATACTCAATTCCTCCATAATGATTTCACAACGTACTCTCAAGCCTTCACCCACTTAGCTTAATCAAAAATATATTTGCCTCATTATCATTCTTGTGGCTACTTTAAAGCCGTATTAAACAGAATGTAGGATGAGGATACGCTGCGCAGTGACTAACTGGGTACAGCAAACTCCCTTGGCTGCAGATGCCTGATCTGCAAGATTTGTTTTCATTAATAAAATAACTGAACTGCAGTAAAATAGGACGTTGGTTCCTACTCAGCTTGCGAATCTAGGCCACGCTGGCTCATGAAGGCTCCAGTCCCTGCAGCAGCTCTTCCCAACGGCCCACGCAGGAGGCGGATGCAGTTTGAGTTCCTTCTGCACCAGGACCCGGCTGCCCCTGGCACAAACCTGCTGTGTCCTTCCACACCGCCCGGCGCGGCCTGTTCACCCATTCCCAAGGATCCGGCTGCGGATCCGGCACCTTCGCAGCAGCGGAAACTGCCGCTCGGTTGGGAAGCTCACGCTTATCCAACCCTGCTCGTTAGGCACCATGCAGAGAGAACGGGCACCCACGCTTCCTCGGGGACAAGCGTCACCCCCTGGGCGCTGCACACGAAAACCTGCGTGTGCCAAGAACACTAACCCACACTGAACGGAGAGGCCAGAAATTACAGCTCCCACACTATCCACAAGATTCTTATTATGGAAAATCTTTAAAATACGATTTTAAGCCATTACAGAAAGACACTTCCTCACTTCCTTCAAATAAGAAAAATTACTGCTAAAGCCCTTTATAGCTTTAAATCAGCACTTTCATAGCACAGCAAACACTAGCTATTTGTGTCATTTAATTATGTAGCTTTTGCAATGTTCATGGAACCATTTAACGCTTCTGTTGTAGCTCACTGAGGAGCAGAGGGAGAAACAGCAACTTTCCAGCCACTGGCAGGCATTATTCAAAGCCAGTAACCCTTCGGAATGCTAGAGAGTCCCACCAACCTGAGTATCACAGGAATTACCAGAACTTGGTAGCTTTGATCTAAAAGTTTTCATCGGAAATGAACTCAGCTGGAAATATTCAATGTGACAAAGAGAAGGCCGGGAAAGGCTGGGTGCCAAGTTCACGGGCAGCTCGGCACAGCAGAGGTTAGTGCTGCTAACAGCGTGGGTAAGACACAAAGAGAACAACTCCTCCCCGTTATGAAGACTCACATCGATGAAGGAGAAGTCAGTGGTCTTTTCCTCGGGGTAGGAGTCTCCAGGAGGAGGTAAATCAGTCCCATCCATGGAGTCCATGTCAGTGCTGGAACGGTCCAAGCTCGTGCTCCTTTGGTCTCTTGCAGAATCATGGCGATCAAGCAGGGAGGCAGGTTCCGTTTGGGAGGACAGAGAGGACGGCTGGCTGCTTGGTGGCTGCTTCCGCGATGAAGTGACATTGTTTTCCGAGGACGGGGACTCGCCTGCGAAGCTGCAAGTTAAGAAAGAGGCCTGTGAGGTTTCAGGGCGAGCAGTCCCCGCGGGGAGCTCTGGATCGCGCAGGTCAGCGGCCAGGGGCCATCCCGCGCGCTGGGGCACCGGCCCGGGACACCATGGCAGGGCCCCGTGCGTCACAGTGGCGCTGACGGTGCAGAGCAGCGAGCGGGGCAGGAGGGCAGCGCGGCTGAAGGCAGCAGCGACGACGGCGTTGGAGGGAATAAACGGGAGCTGGGCTAGAGGCAGCAAAGGCATCTTGGGAGGTACCAGCTGCAAGTCAAAAACGAGCGTTAGGAAGGGTCCTCGGCTGCAGCACAGCACAGTACGCGGTGCTCTACGCAGGCACGAGCGCTCGGGAGCTGCCAGTGACCCCCCTTCACGTTATGGAACGCCTTCAGCAGCACAGAAGATTGAGACGTTTTGAGATTTGTGATTTTTAATAGAGATTGGGTTAAAAATGGCATCCCATATGTCCTGACAGACCAAGTGTCTGCACTGATGCTGTCCTGAAATTAAAGGTTGTTTCCCTTCAGCTGTATTAGGTTTTGTTTCTCTTATTACTACTAGTTTAAGTCCTTAAGAGAGACGCAGCAGAAGCAATGGGAACCTAGTGAACTGTAACTGCCAAGGGGGGAAAGAGGAGAGGGAACATTAGCAGGCTAATCGGATTAGGAGGATCGGATGCTATTTGGAAATTTAGCAATTTGAAGCAGCAACTTGATGCCATGGCAGTTTTGGAGGCTCATCAAGGCACTCTCCTGGGGTTGGTGCCATGTTCTGCACAGGCTGCAGCCTGGGCTCTCCTGAAGCTGGGGAAAATTAATGGGAGGAAAGGGGATTGGAAAGGGGAGGCAAGAGGGATGGGGAGAGGATTGGCAATCCCTACAGAAATCCCATGGGAAAGGCTGAGCCAAGGACTCCAAAAGCTCATGGGGACAAATCCCCTCCGTCGTTTCCCATCACCCTGCCCATGGGGTAGCAGTTGTATCTCGGAAGGAACCTACAAGGGGACAGCAGCCTCCAGAGCGGCCGTGTCC